TTTAAATCGCACAAATAAATATCTTAAGTGATTAGAAAATAGAAAATATCTTAATTAATATTTTTCAATTTAATAAATTTATTTGACTTTAAATAATTTTTGCTGCAGCTACGTTTCAAGCACATCTCGCGTCTTTTCATTCGCATTTGTAACTGATTTAGAGCGAACAAAACCAGACGAATTGTACAAGTTGTGGGATCGAAAGTATTTTGACAAAATTATAATTAAAATTTTCAGTTTCAGTTTCTCAACCATAAACAATTCTACTTCTCAGTTATACATATAATAGGTTCTATAGTGTAATTAAAGCTGAGCAACAATAGCAACAATAGCAACAACAGCAATAAGAAAGCCAATAGAGACGAAACAATAACAAATTACGTTGAATGTTCAAAAGGCCATTTAGGCAAAAATATTTTACAAAACATTCTACAATAACAAATAGACGAGATGTAGTAATTAAAATAAATTACGGATTCGTAAAACGTGAAAATTATTATTTAATTAAATTTGATTTGAACTGTTTACTTTGTTGCAAATTAACTGTAAAGGGTCTTAATTGTAATTAATGAATTTCTCTGCTCTTCACGTTAAGTTCACTTAGGAAAATTATATAAAAGTCATTTTCGTGATTTGATTCATAAGCGTCATCAATCGCTATCGCCTGAAATGTTATCTAAGACTATTTTGACTACCGCATTCCTAGTCAAGCGAAGTATTTTACGTCATTGACGTTGGTTAAGATTTTAATTACTTCATGTGAAATGAAATATATATTCTGATTGCACTATTAAAACGTCAACGTTTGTTTATTCTTGTTATATATTTAAAATTTTCTTATTTATTTCTCAGAAGTGGCAATACTTTTTTTTAAATTTTTTAACAAGCAACCGTAATTATTTATTCTTGGTGTAATGGCCTCATGCTTCCTTAGAAGTTTACTCTTGAACTAACGTCGGGGTCACTAGTTGTTGTATAGTGACGATAACATTAGAAACTTGCTGCAGGTTTTTCCATTTCAACTGACTATAGCATCAATAGTTATTACAGATATATTAAGCACGATACTTATTTCTAAATGAGTTATTTCTAATATATTGCTCTGAAACTTTTTTTTACTAAAAAAAATAGAACCCATTACCCATACCCCATTACTTTATCAGATTGATAGACAAATGTTAAAAAGAACACGTATTTGCTGGACTAAACCCTTTCGGGACTAATGAATGGCCCGGCCGCCGCAGGAACAGTTAGAATCTAAATGATCTTTGGTTTTGCCCCACTAAAGAGGCCAAGCTTCTCTACCTTAAACCAGACTATTTCCAATTGAAATTCGAATCACCTATAATCTGCTCCTGATCCCAAGCAAACTCTTTCACTTGCACACTACTTTTACTTAACCATATCCTACCTAATCCATGTTTTCGTATTTGTAATTCCCTTCAAAAAACATTTAACTTAAATTAAAATTCAATATACCTATACTATGTAAAATTAGAGTTTTACATAATTAGTCAACGATTAATCGTTACAGATATTAAACCCTGTAACCCTGTAATTTGTTATTTAAAACCTAATGGTCGAAGTTTCGAAGTTGGGTTCAAAAGTGGCTGGGCTAGTGGACTTAGTTAACAACCAAAACGGTTTGAGCATATCTCAATATGCCGGTATGTTTTATAGTAATGTTGATATTTAAATTCAAGATATAATATGATATTTCTGTTATTATAGACAGAACATAATAACAAAAGCGCCGAACGGGATATTAGAATAGAACAGATATATTAACAACAAAAACGACTCCCAGGACACAAAGGATAAGTATAAACATAGTAGGAATTATATACATTATATATATTTTATATTATATTATATATATTTTTTATTATGTATATATTATATATATTTAGTTATTAAAATAAAAGTCCTAATAAATATGATTAAATAGTTTCTAATATCGCGCAGGGTCAGAAGTATACGCTCCACTACTTTTCTTCTGACTTAAAACAGAACAAAACAAAAAACAGAGAATTTCACTAGAAGCCTAATTCCCTTCTATGGAGAAATGGCAGTCACTTCAGATAGACCTATCCTGTTAAGATGAGAGTTAAGATATTTTGACAGGTAATCTGCTAGCAATGTCAGTTTTCTTTTAATGAGAATTGACCTTTTTTTGCGAGATAAATTTATTATTATATATACTCTTCTTCTTTTAGGTGCCTTGTCCGCTTCGAACGTTGGCTAACATGATTGCGATTTTGACTTTATCTAAAGGCTCTCAAAAAAGTGATCTTGTACTTTTATTGAATCATGGACGTAAATTCTTCAGCCACGACATCTTTCGTTTCCCAAGACCACGTCTGGCTTCAATTCTGCCTTCAATGATTAATTTCAATAGTCCGTACTTTTCTGGATGCATTATATATAGTACTTAAATGTGATTTAATTTTTTTATTTATTATTATTTATTTTACATTTAATTGTAATTTAAATTTATTTTAGTGTGTACCTAGTAGTATAAGGTGATAATAAGGTGTATTATCGTGCTATACACATATCTATGATTCATAAAAATATATTTTTTCTTATATATTTTTTACAGATAATTTTCTAAATATACATACAATATATAAATGCTTCAAATATTTTTAAAATAAAAGTCATATATCATTTTCAAAAAGGGAAGAATGCTTGAAAAACCCGATGTATCGCGTCTTGTATTTATAGAACAAATTATTGGTAAACCGAAGTGCATAGTTCTGCGTTCAGCTATTTATGCTATTTTTAGCGTGAATATGAAGTAAATTCTTATCTCTGTGTTTATATATGTATAGACTTGCATATATTGAACATTTAACTTAAGATATTCAGAAATTCAAAATATAATAAAAAATGTGAAAAGATGCAACATGTTGTGCACTCGGGTGTATGTTTGATCGCCTCCCATTCTTGGAGCACACAACAATTCACAATCTGATGGAATAGTTTATAAACAATAAAGGAAATTATAATTGTTTTTTTTAGAAATAGTTTAATTGTTCTAAATATAGTTTTTATTAGGGCAACAATTTTTGCAGTGTACGTCATTCAATCATTTAATAATGGGAACAAGATTTTTTAATTGAATTTTTCTACTTTGGGAAAATTTTTTATTTTTGCGATGTGAAATCATTGCACGCGACTTTCTTTTTCAAAAATAATTCTATCTGGACTAAATGGAACTTTGTACAGAGGAACAAGTAATTATTTTTTTAAAAATGTCTAACTTTTTATTTGCAGACTTTAAAATGGACTACAGGCAAATCATTTATCAATTAGTAGAGCAACATTACTAGAAGATAATTAGTCTTAAATAGGAAATAATTGGAAGCTAATAAGTAAATTTAAATTATTTGTAAAAAAATTATGCCACATTTTAGTATGTTATGTCCATGTCCATAATGTTATTACCCCATAGCATATTATGACACGGAAGCTTATATAATTTTCTTATTTTTATCAGTGTCAGAAAACGATTTTTAAAACGATTCATTTAGTTATAATTGAACCAAAAAAGTAGGAATCTTTATATGAAATGATTTCGCTTCGATAATAATTATAAAATTATTGTATTTCGATATTATGAACAATTCTCAGACACTACAGCAAAACAAAACAAAACTATAAAATCACAAAATTAAGATGAAATCAAGATTTGTCGTGTGAATAGACTTATACTTACACGAGCCGAATTTTGTTATTAAACTTATACTAGTTTAATAACTAGTATAAGTTCACATAAGTGAACTAAATATATATTATAAATTGAAATGTGTGCTTACGTCTCTATTCTTGTTGTAGGGTACATTAATTATTTTATTACAATTAAAATTAAATAAAAAATATTTATTAAATTATAATTATAAGGCGTTATAGTTTGAATAAATGTGGTGAGTTTCTCTACATGTATATTATTTTAACACTCTTGTGCATGAAATACTGAAATTAAATATTTCTCAAATATAAAAACGATGAGTCACACCTTATTTCATGTCTAGGAATTCATTATATTAAATTTTTTTCACAAAACAACAAAATATTTATTATTCACTTCAATAATTTGTTAATACAAAATGTGTGTTAAATAACTTCTTGATTAGTCACCACATCAAGCAGTGGAAATCAGCTGTTTGGAATTAGATATGCTTTCGCAGTTACAGTGGCGTTTTACATTTTAATAAGCATGAAAATTATTTTCGTATGCATGTCAAAAAAAAAGAAAGATATATAATAAAGTTACATTAATAAAATTTTGTCTTTATTTTTTTTTTTAATGTTAATGATAGCCTATATAGCTTGCATGGCAACAGTATACGTCGTGCAGATTTATTACAAATGATATTCTCTGTGTACCAACAGCACATAAACTTATGTACATAAACATACTAGTAGTATGTATAGTACATACATAGTTGGATTTAAAGACAACTAGAAGAAAATTGCATACTCAATTTATATGCAAATGTCTCGATTTGTCGGTTAGGTTCATAAAATGCAACAACAAATAAAACAACTGCAATCAAACAAATTTAATGTACAAAACAAGAAACGAATTGGCAGCAGTAACAGCAACAACAGCAACAACAACAGCAGTAACAACACTGGGTACTCAGTACTCAGCGCCCAGCTCGCAGCAAAATCAAGGTAACACTCACACAAACTATTGTGAATCAACCAACAGCGGTGACACGGTAATGGCAATAATTCCTTTTGTTTTTTATATTCACGTTTGCATATATAGATATATATATCTTTATATATGTATGTATGTACAGGCAATCACTATATATAAAAAGTATAAGAATAATTGTAATAAAGGCGAAATAATGCACTTGATCACTGTATTGCGACGTTCCATTGACCATTTGAAGTTCGAATTAATTTAGAAAATGCAGCAATTCAATCAATTTGAAAAGGGGGACCTGGCATGCAAAGATACAAGATATGTATGCTTGTATATATATTGCATATGGTATATACATATATATAGGCTATATTAGCAAAGATATGTAAAACAAGGTTGTATAAAATATAAAAGCAAATGATAAGTGAATGCTGACAGCAGTGGTGGATTCATAACAAAACTACAAACGATGTTTAGAATAATCAAGGAATGTAACTAGTACATGATTAGAATAATATTATTGATTTGATATTCCCATTCTGTTGGGTTGATTTATAATTTACGATATTATTACTCATAATATGGTAAGCATATACCATGTAATACCACAATATCATTTAATGAAAACAAACTGAATTTTGATGAAAGTTAATAGTGGTC